AGGTCTTTAAAATGAAATCTAACAAAAACTCGAAGAATTCATATAATTGTGTTAGCATTAGAACTAACAGGCAAAGTCCTATATGAAACAGAATTCACTTAGGTGTAAAAACCTGTAGGTAAGGTCAACAATGAGATTATCTGCAGGTAGGTGTTAATGAGGCCATTCAGGCAGATGAGGCATCAACAAGGTCTACTTATTAAGAAATAAACTTGAATTGCTATAATGTAGTGAAAGCCAACACTGAGAAATCTAAAATCTTGAAAGATTTAGTCATTTGTAAAGCTGTCTGATATACAGAGGGGGTAGGGGGAAAGTATTTATCCATCTTAAATTTGAAAAAAAAAACAACGGAGATTAAGATTTTCTAGAATATATACCATTTGAAAACTTTCAGTGTAGAAAGTAAGCACTAAAAAAGTATCTCTTGATATGAAATTATCTTATGCTCATAAAATGTGATGCCTTTTCCTTGTAAAATTCAAGTTTATAATAAGAAGATTGTATTGTCACTCTTAGAATATTAAACATACAATTCATGAAGCACAAATATTTCTTTTAAAGTAAAACTGGTAGAAAGAGAATGCAAGATTACCATTTTCAAGTAGAGATATCATCATTACTTCAATAAATTATTAAAGGCATAATAAATGCAGTATATTAATAGGTATATAAAATGAATCACTATTGTTAAACATGATAATAAAAAAGGCACAATACTTGGATGACGGCTAATATCTGAGAGATACTTACACTCCATAAAACTTGATAATACTCTTCTAAAGTGTATTTTTATTGCATATTTTTCTAGCAATTTGATATAAGTATCTAAAAGAAAATGAGTTTTTCACATCTGTGTTATATCAATATATGACTTTAGATAACTTGGATTTTAGACTGTCATTTGTGATATTTTAAAATTGTTATTTATTTGTATATTATTAATGAACTTATAAGACTTTTCTTTTCAAACAAGAGGAAGTAAAAATTAAACTCAATTTGTGTCACATCCTTCAAAATATTAATTTTTTTAATCAGAAGGTAAATCTACTGTAGAAGTAAAATGCAATGTAAATCAATTCACTAACAGTGAATTAATAGAGAAACTCTTAAAATTTTGATAAAAATTACAGTGATTCTCTATTATTTTATAGATGTAAGCTATACGGATTATAAAGAAATGTGTCTCTCTTAGATGACCCTATCCAATCTATATCCTTCTTTTATCATATCAGCAGCCTTAAAAAAACAGTATGCTTAAAGTATCACTTTAGCACACTGCTACTTAAAATATTAATAAATACTAAGAATTAACTTTATCTATCACATTGAAATTGTTAGCTATGGCATATTTATTTTGCATCTGGATTTTTAAATCATGTTATGTAGTCATTATTGTGTTCAGAGATTTTGTTCCTAATGCAGTGAATAAAGAAAAAATAAGCAATCACTTAAGATTTTATACTTAAGGTTTGACTTGTGGTGTGAAGGTGAGAAACATTATTTGCAAAGTTGTTGGTGGATGTTGGGTAACATTGCTTTGTCCTTCCACAAGAAGCTTAGGTTTATCTGGTTACACCCATCAATCTGGTTACACCCATCACAGTGCTCCTGAAGCACTTCCACTTCCATTGTGTTTATCTGTAAACAGTCTTCCCTATGCTCTTCTTCCCATCCAGTTAATTAGCTTTCCCCTTAATCAGACTGTTAATTTGTAAGATCAGTTTCCCAGAAATCTATGATTTTATATGTTTGAGTGAAATATTGCCTTTCTCCTCTCCATATGCCTTATGAACAGTTTACCTTAAAGTAATATCCTTTTTGTATAGATACAGAAAGAACGTTAACATTATGCTTTGTAACTTAGGATTTGATTGGCCTTGAATATTATTCACTCCCGGGCATCTGCTTTCTCGACTTAAGACTCAGTTGCCCTTAGTTCCTAACACCCCAAAAGCAGGGTCCCGACGAGGGATTGAATGGACCCAGGGCAAGCGGTGAGCTACCCTGGCAGCGAAATAGGCCAGGCCAAAGTGCCACGATTCTTAACTATAAGTTAAGAGTTTGATCATAGACAAATGCTGTCATGATCCAAAGGTAACGACAAGACTAGGATCCTGCTAGGGGTGGGAAAGACTATCTGGCCTGAGCACCATGCCTGAGATAGAGATGGCCCTAGGAGAGCAATTCTATAAGTTTAAGATATTTCTTACTGTATCCATACAAAATGATTTATATTATATTCTTACATGCTTGTCGGACAAGGAGAGGAGAGGCACGCCCATTGGATTATGCTCTAGGGTGGGTCCTCCTGCTGAAGAAGGATCTGTCCTAGGAGTGGTCTTCCCTGAGGCTAAGATTTCTACCCCTATTGATTTCTACCCCTATTGATTGTGACCACACCTATGTGTAATTGTTTCCCCAATTCCTCATGGATAGAGGATTTAACTAGACTGTAGGAGTGGGCTGGAGGTTCGGAGAGAGATCAGAACCCAGACTCCAGAGATGGAGGATGAAGGGGAATGGAGAAGGAGAATGAAGTAGCTGGGGGAGGAAGAATGGGGAGCAGAGAGACAGAAGGAGGAGAGACAGATGAAGAGAGAATCAGAATAAACTATGACTAATACCTACCAGCCTGGCCCTCGTTCCTTCCTCCGCCTGACCAACGCCATCGACCTCTCCGGGGTGGGAGAAGGGTGAGACTACCGAACACGGGCAGCGGGAGAGATAGAGCCACTGCCGCTGTGTGTGCTTTGTGTGAGATTACACAGTGGTTATCTTAAGAATTACAATGGATGCATTATAAATTAGCAAATACCTGGTCCATGCATTGTCATTCTGCTTTACCCCACCAGCCACAGCACACCTAACTGATTCATCCTGGTATCCGCCCTGTCTTTCTAACTGCAACCTCAAGCACAAAAACAACCTCAGATTCCTACTCAACACAACACTCAAAAGAGCCACAAATCATCTGTCATATATTTGGAAAAGTTAATAAACTGGTCATCACATGCTCTGGTTAATGTCAGCTATGACACTGAAGAATTACATTGATTGAATTCTTTAAAGTCTTTGTGATTCATTTATGTTTTGACAATGTCAATAAAATACAAGGACTCAACTCAATTCTGTGAACCTGTGGACCTACTTTTACATTAGTAGAATAGAGAACGATGTGTTTGCTTGTTTGGGGTGATACCCGGTAGTTGCTTGGGAGTTGTACCTAATAGTGCTTTTGGGACAATGTAGTGCTAGGGACAGAACTTTGGGTGTCTTCATGCAAAGCATATGCTCCAGTTTTTTGAGCTACCTCCATCCCAGAATGGACCTTTATTTTTTCATTACTTGTAGAAATTTCTTTAGATAAAAAATAAATACTATTATTGTTCAACCTAGAATACTCCTAGGTGTATGTAATGGGTATAATTTTTCCATTTGGTATTATTTAAGGAAATAAATTCAGTATTACTTATCCCATTTTAAGTGCACTATTTCTAAAGTATATTTTTATAAGTAGACTTATGCTTGACAAATTTTATGAATTCCTAAAGTATACTTATGGACTAGTATTTCCAAATTTAGCATGCACAGTTATCTTATAATTTGATTTTATCTACTAAAACATTCAGAAAATACACAGACATAAAGATCACTTGTTTTTCACAAAGACAGATATCATTTCAGTAAAACTAGCCAATAGCTTAAAAATTTTGGTTATTTTCCCCCTAAGGTTATTGTAAAAAATAAATGAGAGGTATAACAAACCAAACAAATCAGAAAAAAAATTCTGAATAGAGGGAATAAAATCAGGTAACTTAAGATCACTAGGTAACATACTTTTTATACATAAATTTATTGCGAATGCTTTTCATTCATTAATTTCAAAGTATAATATGCTATTACTGTTTTCTTTTTCACTTTTGTTACCATCTAATATTAAAAAAATTATCATGCATTTATATTTTTCACAGAGAATTCAAATTAATTTAACCCTAACTTGAGTTCTAAAAATCTTTTATAATGACATTAAATGAGATATTTCTTCTTCATTTAGGAAGACATGAGTATTTGTTTAAAACTGTTGTACTTTTATCTGAGGAAAATATAGATACAGGCTATAAATAATAATTAGGTAATAATTAGGGTGAATAAATTTTGAAGGAATTTAACCATGGAATTAAGTATATCCATTTTTAAAATTATAAAAGTTGCATATATGAAAGTGTATGGCTTACATATTTAGAGGTTCCTAAAACTAAGGTGTTCCCATGTTAAACATAAATGATAAATCTGCTTTATTTGGAAATTCTTAAATGGGGGGCAATTATGGACGTGGATCATCTATGGGGCCCTTAATTTTATATGTGTGCAACCTGAATTTGATGCCAGAAATTAAAATTAAATAAAGTAAAATAAAAATATGGATTTTTGAAAGGCTACTTCAAGATTGCTACTTATTCCCAAGACTACCTGGGATGTGAACTAGATTTCAAAGCAAATTTTATCAAATTTTAAAATCTAAAGAGGCAAGTTAAATTCCAGTAGCAGAATACTGTTTTAAAAGTCCTTGGAACCTTAGATGACAATCTACAATGACAATCTATTAAAACGCAACTCTTCCCAAAAGGATGCACTGAAATTACCCATAATCCCATCCACTTATTTTCTCCAAATTAATGGTATCTCATCAAGTTATTCTAAGGGTTCAAAGGAAGGGTTGTGGTGATTCAGCTTTACGCTTTGATAGATTTAACATAAAAGACGCCATAAATTCACAGGCTGTGAACTGTATATTTCATGAAAGAGTTGAATTAGAATATAATTGATAACAGAATATCAAATAACTATCTATATGTCTTAATATTAGTCCTATATTGATTATTTACTCCAATGGAAGGCAGTGACTAAAAGGAAAATCATAGGCAATCTACTTAGTGAGACTGGGTTTATGGCTTTCTGCTTAATAGGTGAATTTCTAATTGCCCAGTATAACTTACTGCAAATGTGTTGTGAGGATGCCCATCACCAGAAGAGTGGCCACAGACACATAATTTTGTTTCTGGAAGCAATTCCTAGATTAAACAAAGAGAATCAGGAGTTGGCTTTTTCCCCCAATCTTAAAGCGTATGCTAATAATGTACATTATCATGTTTAAAACTTTTTCTGTGGATTATTATTCTGTAGGTGAACACAGAAAAGAGTATTCCCATTCTGCTTTACAAACACTAGGAAGTATGTTTTTCAAATAGGAATTATTTGGCAGACATGAAGTTGACTACATTATTACTTATTAATCATAAATGCACTAGTCATTACTAAAAAATATCACTGACTGTCATGGTCCTGATATAGGAACCTCACTTTACATTTATCAGTTAAAGTTATGTCAATGCTAATAAATTGATTTGGCACTATGATTTTGGAGTCTGAGATGGTATTTGTCCTTAAGCTTTTGAACTCTTGGGATAGACATAGAGCACCTGTTTATAGAAAGTTGCTTGCTTGCATGTAGGTGACCCTAGTTTCTTCCCTGACAACACACATAGTACTAAAATGCTGTCATGAGTGAGCCCTGAGCATAGTGGTTCTTTGGTGTGTGGTCCCAAATAAACAAACAACAAAAAACACAATTTAACTTTTTTGGAAATAATTAACTATTGACTTATTGAATACACTAATAAAATTCACATAAATTACTAACACAAGATGTGAGAACAATGAACAATATCTTTTTATAAAAGTTGCTTTGTATACAGTATACATTATTGTGATACAAATATTGCTGCTGTATATTTTAGACTATGGGGCAAAGCTCCATAGTATCTGTGAAAACCTGTTGAACTGTGTGTGCCATTTGTTTTGAAAAGTATTCTATACCCTAAAAAATATAGCTTGTATTTTTATCTGCAAACGCAAAGTGATCATTTATTGATAAATAATACAGAATGCTATTTTTTAAAATCTAAGTTGCATTAGATATTTCAAAGATTTTATCTGAAGGGCAAAAGGATTACACTGCATTTGAATACATCATGTGACAACACATCCTTAGACTTCATGTATGATATGAAAGGTTGATCCCCACTCATAGGATACACAAGGGAAATTATATGAGAAAAGAAGAAAAGCAAGTAGGGATGTCGTAGAGGTTTCAGGGAGTATTTGTAGTGGTTTGATGCATGTAAATATTACATCTTATAAATAATTCTTTTCAAATATATCTCTGAAGTTCAGAGCTCTGTTTAAGATACAGATTGTATATGCTTTACATGACTATATGCCATTTTCTTCTCGATAAGAATGCATTAATTCAAACAACAAAAGTGGTTTCCAAAATAGTGTTTCTCTTTGCTTTCTTCTGAAGAAGAATGTTACCTGATGGCTGGCAGATGAGAATAGGAGGAACAATGTTCAAGTTATATTTTCCTGTCATAATCCAACAAACACATTTTCATCTAAATTATTTTGTCAACAGCCTTGTAGTACCCTTGCTAACCTTATTTGGCACTAGTGCATAATTAGATACACAGGGGTGTGACTCCAATTGAAGGTGTTGGCATTGTAGCACTCTGTGAAAATATTAACTATGAGGTTAACTCCAATTTTCTCTTCTTTAATTAAATGCACATGGTACTAATGAGGTAACCTACTGTTCCTTGATAGCACTAATTAGCTAAGAGGAGAGTACACTCTCACACTGCAATTTAAACCTAAAAATAAGGTTGAAATATGCTAATTGCAGGCAATTTAAAGCAGTACAAGTTGAAGAACTAGTCATAATAAGAGAAACTGACTGCTTTACAGCTAGGCAGCTGTAACTTTGGTTAAAATCAAAACAAGCCACATGATTTTTGGACTGCTATTTAACAAGGTCAGAAGCAGTCTTTAATAAATGAAATGCTACTCTATGGCATGACAATAAACCAGACCAACAAAAATTTTCCTTAGATTGACACTTATCTCCACAGAACAAAAATGTAAGCATAACAAGAACTCTTGAGGTTTTTATGCACTACATGTATTGTATGATAAAATTTATTTATTTAGAGAATTGAAGTCGCAGCTGGCAATGCTCAGGACTTACCTGTGACTTTTTACTAAGGAATCGCTCCAAGTGGTGTTCAGAGATCATATGCATTTCTGAGATTCAAGCCAGAGTTGGCTGTGTGCACGGGCAATGCCTTAATCCCTGTACTTTATCTCCGATTCCCGAAAGCTAAAATTTAAACTTCATAAATAAGCAATATCACCTAAACATCTTTCAAAAGCACTCAGATGAAAAAAATTTATTTATGTCCCCATCTTAAAAAAAATGTCACTTTTCTGAATATCTGTCACCTCTATCACAGGCCAGAAATGAGAAAACAAAAAGCAGTGAAGTTTGAGTGCTTGGTAAAAAAAAAAAAAAAAAAAAAAGAAAACATGGTGGAAAAATTTTCAGATACTGTACAGGAAGTGATAAAAATATACATCCAAACTATGGAATTAACTGGTGTAGTTATCATTTGAGGAACAGAGATGACAAATTATTGGAAAAACTTTATTATACGAGATCTCTCATGGAACCATCTATAAAACAGGAGAGATAACTCAAAAGGCTGGAGCACAGGTTTGCATGCAGGTGCTTGGGGCTTGATTCCAGACAACACATGGATCTGCAGTTCCTCTGTCAGATATGGCTGAACTCCTCTACTCAAAAAGGAAACTTCTTCTACAGATTAGAGTTTTGAGCTGAAATAGCACAAGGCTCCCCACATGAGAGAATATACTCCCTTTTTAGCTCAACTGATTCATCATTTCAGTTACTCTAAGTATAGTTAAAACATATATTTCTGAGTCGTTTCTTAAACATTACCCAAATATGATATTTAACTGATAATCACAAAGATGACTTTGACATAAAATAAGATCCTGAAGGGTGTTCTAGATATCAAAAAAAGATAGGCTTTGATTGATACCAAGTAAATTTTAATTATTTTTGATCTTTTTGATATCTTACTGTTACTAACAAGAAACTTCGAACTGAAACTCACTTCAAGAAAATGGCACATCATCCCTGTTTCTACTTACAGAAATAACGTACATTAAAATAACACTATCATTAATCTCCTCTTAGGGCCAAGAGGCTTCCACAACTGCAATGGACAGATTCATGTGACAATTTTCTACGCCATCACTTTGAACATGCAGCCATAAAATACATACAGTGTAAACAACCTAAAGAAGCAATTCAAAAGGAAAATTTCTGAAAAAAAGTCAATGTTCTTAAATTTACTGAAGAAAGCAAGGAAGATGAAAGGCAAAAGCTTGTATGAAACCTTCAACTAGTAACTCCTATAGTTAGAAGTATGTGGGTATAAATTTTGCACTGCTATAAGCTCGTCAATCCTATCTAATCAAATGGCTTAGTTCAAGAAACAATGCTTCACAAAACCAACCAAACTTTATTTTCATGAATACTGGGAATCTTTCTACAACTGAGACAGAATGCTGGCAAGAGATGCTAATGAATCTCTGTCCAACTATGCTTTACCAAACCCAAGAACTTGCAAGTCTATAATGAAGTAACAGTCATTTATAAATGAAGGAATTCAGATGGATGTTTAGAAATGAGACTCACTGAGGCAATCTGACACATTCTAGCAAATCAGAGGGAAACACAATGTGAATGGATGTATTAAGTGTTTTCATATGTTTCAAATAAGCACCAAAGAACCTTTTGACAGTGAAAACAGCAGGGCAATGTGGATTTGGCTTTCAACAATAAAGTTAGAAGAAATTTATTCTTCAGTTAAATATAAATCATTACAATTTTCTGTTAAAACAATAAAGAGTAAATAATTTGGGTTTGAAAGTAAAACTACAAGCTGTGAACTAAGTTTGTAGGGCTTTAGATTCTGACTCAACTATAGTAGTTGGATGACCTTGAATAAGATTCTTACTCTTTCTCTATAGAAAGAGAATAAGAAGTAACACCATCATAGGGTTATTAAATATAATTATTCATAAAGAACTTAGAACAGAACTATTATTCATATACCTAATGTGATAGCACAGAGAGTAGGGTATTTGCCTTGCACGTGGCAGACCAAGGTTTGATTCCTCTGTCCCTCTTGGAGAGGCCGTCAAGCAATAGAGAGTATTCTGTCCACACAGGAGAGTCTGTCAAGCTCCCCGTGGCATATTTGATATGCCAAAAGCAGTAACAAGTCTCACAATGGAGACGTACTGGTACTCGCGAGAGCAAATCGATGCTAATTGATGAACAACAGGAGGACAGTGCTACCAGTGCTACAGTGCTACCTAATGCTTTTTTTAGCTATGCACTTAAGATGCACAAACTATCATCACTGCTTCATAAAATATCAAATTTTTCAAATTAAAAATTATCAAAGTCCTACCACTGTTAAACCATCATTACACTCTTAAGGATACAAAATTTTACAAGACTTTTTGTCTGCATTCAAATTCCTGTTAGTACATCATTAGACTCCATGATTCAGGTTGAAGTCCTTTCCATATAAGGCCCTCCCGTTGATCATTGATTTGCTCGAGCGGGCCCAGTAACGTCTCCATTGGAGACTTTGTTGTTACTGTGTCTGGCATATCGAATACGTCACGGGGAGCTTGCCAGGCTCTGCCGTGCAGGCGAGATACTCTCGGTAGCTTGCCGGGCTCTCCAAGAGGGACGGAGGAATCGAACTCGGGTCGGCCATATTGGCTGCGTGCAAGGCAAACGCCCTACCGCTGTGCTATCGCTCCAGCCCTCCATATAAATTCCATATAAATGAAAGGTATTTTTTTCTCTATAGAAAACTGGCACAGCGAAACAAGGAGTTAATATGTTACTACCATCAGAGACATGATAAAGTGACTTTTAAAGAAAGAATATAATTTTTACAAAGCTGACTGAGGCATATTTTAATAGAAAAACTAGTTTATGGTTCATCATGATCTCTAAGAAAAAGTAAGTTTACAATTATTTTCTCTTTTGAGTTTGGCTGAAAAAGTGTTTATTTCTTTTTCCTTAACATTTCTGAAATTCTTGTCTTATTTTGGTACAAAATTGTAT